TAATATATACGTTATAAAATTTTTTAATTTTTTTTTTTAAACACACCTGCTGCAAGACTTCAGGACTAAGCCAAGGCAGGACTTTGATGCTGTATTTGGGAAAGTCATGAACAACTTTGAGTCGCTGCCCATGGTTGATCATACTTAGATTACTTCGCAGGCCGGAGAGGTACACCTTCCCATCTACAGAGATGAGAATGTGGCTGGCTTTAACACTCCTAAAAAAAAAAAAAAAAAAAAAAAAGTAAAAAAAAATAGTCAGTTCTCTGGCCTCAAAGGAGTTCTGTTCCTTACAGCTTTCTAAGGAAGACTTAGTGCAGAAGGACACTGCAAAGGATTTAAGGCAGGCATAGGTGAGCTGAATTTCTTTCACAATAGATACAATAGAAGTAGTAACCACTAATAGCCTAGAACTTTCAGCATCTGAAATTTACTCTTGCAACAAAGGGATGTATCAGAGAAGAGGAAAGATATGCTAAGGGGTGGAGACAGTAATTTAGAAGGAAATTAAAGGAAGTTGTACTAAAGAGAAATTCATCCTTAGCGAGCTCCTATGGAAGGGACAAAAGCCTACGCTACAGGAGAGCTCAATGCAGGACAATACTTGATCAGCCTCCTAATGACCATCCCGAATGCTGTGCAAAACCACTTCTACAAGCACTACCAGGAATGGAAAATGGATCGCTTTTTTTTTTTTTAAATACCTATGTACATAGCCCATGTGGTGGATGTAGTCAAGTGCTTTCAAGACGCCTTGGAGGATATATGCAATAGCCAGTTCACTCATCCCATCCATAAAATGGGTACAGATTAAATCTTTTGCAGAACCTAAAAAGAAACAAAACACCTCTTAATCGGTCAGAAAAAAACCAAGGATACTTCACCTCTCAAATTTCATTTCACAGAACATGATGGTCAGACAAAGGTATTCCCTCTCCACCTACCATAGGCCATGAAAGACGTCACAACCCATAGCTCATTGTCAGCTATGAAAGTTGCTTTGTATGGCACAATGTTAGGGTGGTTGAAGAGCTTGGAAACATGAAGTTCCCCCTAAAATTAAAAAAAAAAAAAGATATTTTGATTCAGTTTAGCAAATGCAGAAATATGAATACAGTATTGATAAGCACTGCTCTTGCTGTCTGCCCTCTCCTAAACTTGCATTATGGTATTAGTGGATTTGTGTTACCTGCAAGAATGTGACCATTTCATTCGTGCAGGCCTCCAAGTTCACTCTTCTGACTGTGACATACTCCCCTGTGGGTTTATACCTGGCCAGGTTCACAACCATCAAGTCTTCAAAGCCTCTGCCTGAAAGAAAAGGCATTAAAGCTTCAGTAACATTTCTGGAACCACACGCTTCTGGAGAACTCCAGTCCTTGACCCTTAAATAATCTTTACAGTCATTTACTGAAACTATTTTCGGCCTTGTGAAAAACAGTAATCGTTCCATCAGATACCACCTTTCTTGGCATGTATCCCATCGAGAAAAATCCTCCTAGCCAGTAATATTATCCTGTCTTTCAAGTTCAGAGCCAACGTAGCAATAAAATGATTAGGCCACAGCCCCACCAAGGACAGGGACAGGTTTCAGGCTGCTTCTGCTGCCTTTGTCCTTCACTCAGTATCATTAACCCACCACGTGCCTCTTTCTGTTGAAAGCCTTTAGGATTGGCATCTCAGTTTTTATTAAAGTGATTTTAAAATCAAAGAGGACAGGTATCTAATGTCAAAAATAAGCAATCAATCAAGAAAAGGCCAACAAATCTGCGGAAGTTATTTTCTTTGCAAAGCAGACTTCTGAACTTCCAGCCCCCCAGCAGTATTACCTATGATAGTGAGCAACTCATAACAGCTGCTGTCTGGTAGGAAGTTGCTCATGGTGTCCCTTTTAGGGGAAGAAGCTATCGACTCGGAGCTCGCTTCATTTGTCTGGGGGAAAAAAAAAAATAAAGTCCCATCAAAAGAAATAAAGATCACATGCTAGAAAAATCATCTGCTCCTTATATTATCATACACGTCAAAATAATAAGACAGTACTGAATATAGAAGACAGAATTTAATTGCTGTTAAAATAATTTAAAATAGTTATTTATCAATTGAAATCCAGGAGATGCCTCATTTCAGAAGATCCAAATATCTGTGTTTCAAAACATATAACCATAACAGGTAGATTCTTAATTACCTTAGGCTAGAATTTCTGTAGGAATATTTGGATAAAGCCAATTACTATTCCCCAGCACAGCTTAAGCACTGCTTTATAGTAACCAACTTCCCCGTTAACTACGAAGTTCTGTGCGACCATCCTGTTGCCTGACCAAAGGCAAGCTTGTTTCTAGCACTTCTCTGTGCTGTGGCAGTCAGCATCCCTGTCTGATGCTGGTTGGGGCTTCGGGTTTTCAGCTGCTCATCTGCAATAAGACCAGCGCAGCTGAAGCTGCTTAGCTGAATAGTAGAAGTGATGAACCAACTTAGCCCAAGATACGAAGATCAGACACACATGAAGAGAAGCTCCAAATGAAAGCAAAAACTTAACTGCAAAGCATTAGTGCTTACAGGAGGGGAAAAAACAAAAAAAGGGAAAAGAAAAAAAAAAAGAAAGAAAAGAAAAAGACCCCACACCACACAGGGAAGCAGCACTCCCAAACCTGTCAGCTTTTCTTCACTACATCTGACATAAAGCTACGTGATTTACATACACATAAATCCTTCCAAGCAGGATTTTGCAGAAGACAAACTTCAATGTTCTTGCAAGTTCCATTATACCTTCCAGCTCCCTCAAATTTCCAACTCACAAGGAGAGCATCCTAATGGGGAACCAAATTTATTTGGTGTCTAAGATCAGATTTAGTTATCTCAAATTTCCAGCACATTAACTCCTCCTGACATTTGGAGCTCCAGCTCATTTTTTCCACCTCATTCCTCATCAACTGCAAATTCCCTTTATCAGACCTTTTCTCATGGTACATGAAGCAGAAAAGGCTTGTGCATTTTTCTAGAGTGACAGCAAATACTCTCTTTTCCATCACTGAAAGATGGAAACAACACAGTGACAGCTGAAAAAACAGGGAACTTGCTGTTCTACATTCAGTCCAGGGTAAGTGTAGTGCAATGAGTGCAGACAGGAATTTGCCATAAATTACCTTTGGTTTCCTAAGTATACTTCGGGAATAAACTAATAGTCACACTTCCCAAGTTCCACCTTTTCAACCGACTTTGAACAGCACATATTTTACCTCTCTCTGCCTACCTTTAAAATGGGTATATTTTTCAGTTAAGGGAAAAGGCAAAACTTTAAAATTTGTGAGTATTGCTATGGTATAATTTCAGCTCAAACAACTCCAGCACAGCAACTCAGTCCTGTTTCAGAATAGCTGACCCCTGAGATCTCAGCAGTCCCAAATCCTTTTTTTCCTAGTCCTCACACTACACAGTGCTGGTGCTTGGCTGAGAACAGGCAGCAACTTTCCATTCACAATTTCAAACTTCTGTTAGAGACGCCTGTTGATTCTGGTCTCAATTGTATCACTCATTACTTCTTCCAGCAATTTCACACTGTCCTGCCAACAGCAAGATTGCCAGGAGAGACACACAGGCAGATGGAAACCTCTGAAGCAGAAAGGCACCACCAAGGAAATGAAAGCAGGAGGATCTGATAAGCAGCGTTATGGAGCAATGACAGCTGGTGAAACACTGAGCAATATGTAAGTGGTTTGCTTTATTAAAGTCCACTCCAGATATAACATAAGCCAACAAAACAGATGCAAAAAAAAAAAAAAAAGAGAAAATTAATCTTATTAATGGTGTAGGCTGTTTCAACCATCATGGAAAAATACCATAAATTCCCTTTTTAAAAGTCTTCCAGTACATCAGAGGTCTTCACTCACCTCTCCATGTTAGTAGTAACCGATAACTGAGCTAATGCAAAAGGAGCTCTACCAGATACTTATCAACATCATACAAGAGTTTAAAACAAAGTTAAACTGAAATGTCATTTATGAAATACTGCAAAAAAGCTCCTCAGTGGTTTCACACAGGATAACTTTTGGTGTATGGTCAAAAGCAAAAGCAGCTGCGAAATGAAGTCACATATGACTACTAGCTTTATGGCATGACATTCATTAAGAGCTAGCTTTCCAGCTTGTTGATCTGATTTTAATTTCAGATAGATTTAAGGAAATTAATCTTTGAAAGGCAACTACTGTTATAAATGCCATAAGAAAATCAGTTATGTGATGCTAGCAAGGATCTGCATTTGCCAAGTGATGTTCATCTGAATTAGGCAGAGAGAATGTCGGTTTTGTTCTGCTGCCTTCCTCTCTTCCTCCCTCCCCCACTTTCAGCATGAATAACAAAAATTCTCCTCCCATCCCTCTCCCTAAATTATTTACCTTTTTCTATAGCCTTGCTGGAAAAAGTAAACTTTTATTTAGCTGTAAAAATCAATATGAGAGTCATCAATAGCACTGCAGAGGCGACCAAACCCAAGTGAATAATCTAACAAAACCAAAACAGATGCTAATCTCAATTTGCTTCCAGTCCAGCATATGCATTAACGCTCAGCAATTTAAAACAAGGTGTGAATTTACTTGACTTTATACAAAACATTCCGTATACGTCTCATTTTCAGCTTTGTTTGTACCAGTAAATTACAGGCACTGGCACAAAAATCAATTATAAGCAGCCTGAACTGACACAGTTATAATCAAATCACACTTAAGTCGTGTTTGTAATTAGCTCAAACTAGAGCAACACCTGCACACAGAAATGTTTCAATATGGTGTGGGCAGGTGGGAAATCATTTAGACAAATATATTCTATCACAAATTGCGTTATTCTGCGAGCACTGTTCATTATGAACCAGACAGTGTGCAATCAGGGCCTGCAGAACAAAAAGCATCAAGGTAAAGTTTTCAACTGCCACATTTGGGCTGTACATTTTTGAACAGACGTTCCATGTTTGCTAGTGATTTTAGTTTCTAAGAGACAAAGCTCTCTAAGCAGGCATGGAACTGGCTCTGAAGACAACCAGACAACAGCAGGTAAGGTCACCTCAAACTGAAAATCACATAATGTTTCATGTTGGAGCCTCTGTTGCGGCTGCTCTACAGGGAAGAGAAAAGAAATGGGAATCAATGCGTTCAGAAGGGAACACTGGTTTTGAATGGCCAACATCAAATTTTTTGGGCCTAGCTTTCAGAAGTCCTATAAACTAACCCCTTCCTTTTATTCTAAAAGAGAGTTATAAGAGATTAGCATCTCTGAAGAAATCAGATTTAAATCATCTTAAAAAAGAGACCCCCTGGGGGGGCTGGGGGATGACGACACAAATCCAAATCCAAGAGATTAAAGTTTTGACTTGTCACATATAGTTTGAAAATCACACACCAAAATCTCCACTCCAGGGTGAAACCTGTTTCCACACTCGTAGAGCTAATATAGAGATGAAATATATAACTAAGATAAAAAGAAAAACCAAACTTCCACAAGGAATAATCTCCATGCAATGAACCACAGCACCACAGCCTGCAAAAGCCACTTACTTTTCTCCGAGAGTCACCCGGAGGCTGCTCTGGAGTAAAGAAATTAATTGTTCACCATGTTGTGTTTGACAGATGCCCATTAAAAATATAGTTGGAAAACTGAGTAAATAACCCTGCATGCTAGTTTTTTTATACCAAATATATACAATAATTTTTTAGACAAAAGACATTTTATTTACACATAAGATTGCACCACTAAAAATAATCAAATTGTAGTATAAGTATGAGAATTAAAGAGATTCAACTAGTGCTACCGTTCATATATTCAGCATAAATGTAAGGTAACAATTTTTTTATTATACCTCTAAACACATTCAAAAATGACATATCTACTTCACTTAATATAGAAGAAACTATCTAAAGTTTACTTAAAGTGGTGGAAATTCTTCCACTCCACCTGGAAGTTCAAGATCTAGATATGTTTCCTATGCTCTGATTACCTTCTATGCCACCAATGAAGAATTCTGCATCCTAGTGGGCAATTTTGCTCGTTATGCACAAAGCAGAACAGAAACCAATCAGCTCTCCTGCAGGCACACTGGGGAGCTATCATCAGAGTTTCGAAATCCACTTTTACTCGGAAAATTATAATTAACCTTCCCAAACCCCAAATCTGTCCTTTGCACAGGATAAAAATGGTTATGCTAAGACATACAGAATGCAGGGTCTGAAAATAGTACTGCCATCCATGTGAAACTGATTTCCAAATAACTTGCTAAATCTTGGACGCTTCTATGCTAACTTTATACAGTTAGCCAGCTTGAATAACCAGATCTAGTGCTACAACCAGATTTATTAATATCTTTTGCTGTTAAGATACATATTTACAACCAAATTAACAGTCCTTGTGGCTAAAATAAAACTTTTCTAACAATGTTATCTGATGAGAGGAAAACTTACCTCCAAACAGTTCGAACTCTCTTAGGCCCTCAACAATGAACTTTTCAGATACCCACCGCTAAAAGAAAAAAAAAAAAAAAAGCCCCCAAATAATTAGTTACTTCTTCTAGAGACAAGTTTCTTCTTTTCCTCCTCCCCCACAAAAAACATAAGAGAATCATAACACTCCAAGGACTCTGATGTGATCTGAAAGCGATTAGCTGCAACATCAAAGATATATCCTTACTTTGTACAAGGATATTCTCTTCTTGTGCCACTGCAATGGCTTTTCCTGACCAGCATGCACATGCAATAAAGTTAACATCATTTTAGATCATTCAAACACAAGCCTGATACATGTACGTACAGGAAAAATAATAAGCATGCTACAAGTCCCTTATATAGGCAAATAAAAGTTGTTTGTTTGGGTGTAATAGGCTTTAAAAAAGCTTCAACTATTTACAATGAGGTGATGTCTTAGAAAATTGAAATATTCTTGCTACATAGCTATGGACCGAATGCAAAGTTAGAACATGAATATTTTCTCTTCCAGAATTCATGCCTAAAATTCACAGCAAGCATTAGATTGTGCCGAGAAATGTTCCTACAACTCTATTCTGCTCTGTGATTCAAAGAAAAAATATATATGCACACACATATAACAGACAATAGAACATGCAACTTCAGGCTTGCAGAGTGTTGATCATGAAGTTAGCATTAAATGAACAATCACAAACACTCCATTAAAATTAGTCTACTTGGTAAAATAGCTGCAAAAATATCTTATGTTGTTTAGTGCAAGGGAAGCCTGTCCTAGAAAGCACCAACAAGCCTTTAGGTAACAATGACTCAAAACTCGCATATAACAATACCATTTTAAGGCACTAAAATAGTGGTTTTCTCACACGGAACTTCCTCACTTAAAAACGCAGAATTAAACAAAGCTGTTGCGTTTAGCTTTCCAAGCTAAGTTAAGTTTAGAAGAAAAACCACAAACAGAAACTGTCGGCGGCGTGACGCAGGCGAGGCGATAACTTCTTAAAGAAAAGTTGAAAACAATCAGCGTTACCACACTTTTTCTGAACTGGGACGCCCAGCACAAGCCGCCTGCCCCCCCGCAGAGGGGGTGCAGCTGTGCAAGCAGTACCGACTTCAGCGGGGGGGTTCGCCAGCACCTCGCCTGCACATCGATACCCTGCCGCGCAATTAGCGCTTTGAACGTGACTCGAAGGTGCTTTCCAGGCGGCCGGCCCGGCCGCAGCCCCTCTGCACGACGCAAGGCTCTACCGACACCTGAGGGAAGCTGGAAGGCGTTCAACACTCACCCTAATCCGTTCGGGTTTACTTACAAGAAAAGACATGGAATCCGCGTTTGTGCTACCACGCGCAGCTCGCGAAAGGACGGGCAACCTGCAGGCACGACAGCGGGTCACCCCCTCACGCCTC